GGAGGACCATTCAGATCCATTCAAACATCCCATGAAGTACGAAGTATGCTTTGAAAGAGTGATACAATTGTTGTAAAAATAGAATAGACATACTAAATCCACTTAAATGTATTTTTTAAGGGCAAAGAGTTTGAGAATTTTGAATGGCAAAGAGGATTATTTTCTGTTTGGGCAGAGATGTGTTTATTTTGCATTTTTCAGCTCCAAACAAATAGAGCTCATGCTCTAAAAGGGTAGTAGTCTTGGAAATATGTGGTGGTGTTTTGATTGGAGGTCTGCAGGAATGCACAGGGCTGTCATTTGCAAGTGGGCCCTCCATCCCCTACACAGAGGCGTTGGCTGTAAAAGACGACGTAGACCTACTGTTAAAGCATCACGTATCTCGTAGTACTCATTGCGTCCGTTGTACTTGCTGAAATACTATGCTCAAGTTATTTGGTAGGAACTGAAGGAACTTTTAATAACATCTAAAATCACTGCTTTAAGGTTTAGATTTTGGGGGGTGTGGTTGGTGTGATGTGCAGTAAGAATAATAGCAAACACTTACAGAGCGCTTGCGATGAGCCAAGCGAGTGTATAGTAGTAACGGATTTAATTCTCATAACCTTATGAGGCAGGTTCATTTAGTATCCTGTTTTCATGTGAGAGAATCTAGCCAGAGAGGTTAAATAACTTGCTCAGGGGCACATAGTAGAGTGGTGCTGCCTGGATTTTAACCTGAACAGATTGCCCCAGAGCCAGGACCTGCCTAACTTCCCTGCTCCCCGAGCAAGAATATTCCTTTGGTGTCAGGGTCGCTGAGGTGTGCAGGAAGTGTTGCTTTTCAGTCCCTTTTTCTAGAGTGGTATTCATCCTAGACACGTGCAGTTTTGTGGCTCAGAACAGAGACGTATACCTGTGCGTGCGGGGAAGGCGCGGAAATGGCCCGCCCCACGTGAGTTAGGAAAACACACAGAAGCTGTAATTTACATCCTCTAATCTGACAGCAAACGTGGTTGTGGGGCTTTAGGCAAAGCTGGGGGCTAAGGTGCGGGTCTCCTGCCCCAGGCAGGATTTGTTTCCGTGCATGTTTGTTGATTCTCACTTAACCTAATCGTATGCCTTGTCCATTTTTCTCCGCCTTTCCCTTTTGTTTAAATTAAATTGCAGAACACAACAATTTACTGAGGTATGAGGAACATTTTTTAATGACATGGAGAAAATAGTATATGGCATGTAGTAAGATAAATACTTCGTGAAGTTTCTTTTTTAGTTACACATATAAGAGCAGCATGCTGTATAAACTGTATTTCTTACTGTGGGTAACAAAGTCCGAAGGCCATTGTTCTGGGTACGCTGGATGGAATGGAATGTCTCCAGGTAACAAGTAGGTTTTTCTACAAGGTTATGGAGATACTGTCCTTTTTAGACTCTAAAGTGTTTTTTAAATTTCATATCTTGATGAAAAATGTGCTCCTGTTTATATGATCCCAGAAAAAAAAATCCCCCCCAACAGTTCAAGTGACTGATTAAATGAATTTTTGAGCGTGGTGTCATTTAGCTCCATGAGGATGGAGACCATCCATGTTGATCTGTATCCCTAGGATCTGGCTCTTAATAGATTCTCAATAAATATTTACTGGTAGTAGGCCCAGTGTTTTGGTGAGTTACATTTTTTCCTCCAGGAAGTTAGAGAAACCACCTGTGTCTAAGTGTGTCTCTGAGTGCGTCTGTGGGACCCTTAGAGGCTTTGCCTCAGCAGATCTCACTTACAGGGCTCTGGGAGGCCTGCAGAATTGCACCCTCCCTCTCCTGGAGGATGCGGCTCAAACCTGGGTGGCAGGGATTTTGGGTTTCTCTGGGACCCTAGTTAGGCCATGTATCTAATTCTCTGCCACGCTATGAGAGTGATGGGAAGGGCACAAGCATGGAAAGTCTGGGTCCTAGTCTCTATTGAGGAAGTGAGACACTCGATATGTTAACACAGAACCGCCTTTTATTGAGCACCAGGAGCTAGCAGAGGATGTGCATGTGTTACTAACCCGTCTAGTCCTCACAACACCTCTATGAGGTTGCCTCTATTGTGACCTCTGCTGTACAGATGAGAACTAGGGTTTAGAGGATTTAAATGTTTGCTCTCCACTGTAATTGCTGTGTGTGGAGCTGAGGATACAAAGCCTTGCCCTTCTGAAGCTTCTAGTCTAGTGCCAAAGACCAGCAGTAAACAAGTAAATAAATACCATGTAATTTTAGGCAGAAACAGAGAAATGCTGTGAAGAAAACTAACGCCTGAAGAAAAATGATGGAACAATCGGGACCAGTGTGCCATTTGAGAAGGAACAGTCAAAGGACCCCTCAATGACAAGGGTGAATCTGAACAGAGACCTGAACGGAGTGAGGGAATTAGCCTTGTGGATAATCTGGAGGAAGAGGCAGAAGGTTAGCAAGGGCGAGGACCCTGACCCAGCAGAGAGCGAGGCGCGTTCAGGCAACGCCGAGAGGGCCGTTGTAGCTCGAGTCAAATGAGCAAGAGGAGAGCGGTGGTGGCTGGTGAGAGGGCACAGGGCAGATCAGGTGAGGCCCTCAACGCACATCATCGCAAAGGAGTCTGGATTGTGTTCTGATGTCTTCTACCTACAGCACAAGGTCTTCTGTGAGGCAGAGACCTCTAAGGTCCTTACCTGCTTTAAAATCCTGTATGACTTTAAAGTAGTGATGTCGTGTGTCAAGCCATTCAAATCAGTCAGCGTGTTTTAGCGGTTCTGTCGAAGACCTGACTGCACCTCTAGATACAAAGCCATCGGCCCCTGGGCTGAGTTCTTTCAAGAGGGCAGCCAGCTGCAGCCACTGAAGCCGTGGCCGGGCCTGCCTGCTGTGCTGTCAGAGCTGTGGCGGGCAGGGACTGTGTGTGCCAGTGTGTGGTATGTGTTTAAAGAACGTTAAACCCTACAAAGAGTCATTTTGTGTTTTCTGGCACAACCGACAGTTTTCATCCTGCAATTCTCTTTTTCTAATTTGCTTAAATACTCCTTGTGCTCCGGCATGGAGAGTGTGACAACTTGGGGTTGTAATAAAGTATTTGACAACTGTGTGAGTTGTAGGAACGTGCCCCTTTTTGTTAATAGGAGCATAATTGTAACCAAAGAAATTTAATTTCTCCTTTAGCAAACACTGACATTGCTGTTTCAGAATGATTGCTAGAGTAAAAGGAAATATGAAAATTACCATGTATCATGAACACATTGAGAGTTCTCTCTGTATAGCTCAAAACTGATCTATGGCCAAAATCAAAACCAGATGAACTTATCATAAATCTCAACTACTACTGTGTTTGCTTCTAATTCTGTTTGGAATAAGGCTTCAAATGCTTTCCAGAATGATGTGAGTTACGAATAAATAGAAAAAGAGTTATCCTGTGTTCCATTTATTTTATTTGTACATATCCATTTCAAGAGAAAAAAAAAAGAACTTTGAAAATACAGTTCTGTCCCAGAAATGGAGCCTTATCTGCACAACCATTAAAGGAAAAAAAAAATCATGCAAACTGAAACCAAGGTCTTTTGTAGTGACTGGATGTGACGGAAGATGCAGTTATCCCAGTAGAATATCTATCTGATTTGGCAACTGACAGCACAAAAGAGAACCCAAACTTCACTGGTTTGATTCAAGGAAACACAGTTTTACATGTGGTTATGATAAGGTTTGCAAAACCCTGCAAAAGCCTGTATGGAACAAATAACGCACTGGAATCCGTTAAACACCGTGTACTGCCGTGCCTCTCCCACCACCGTCAGTTTTATTACTGTATCTCTTACTCGTTTGGCAACAGATAAATAAGTGATCAAACCAAAACCGTAAGTTGACATCAGAACAGTGAATGCAGTAGCAAGTCACTTCATACTTTTAAATTATGTTTGGTCATTGGTATTAATGCATAATTCCCAAAATACACCACCACGTATAGAAGAGGCCCAACAATTTATCTGATTTGTTCTCCTAGCCAGTGTGACAATATTCCAAGTAGCCGGTTTCATAGAAATGGACAGAGAAATGTTATTGGTGACTAGTCTGGATTTTGCTATCTTGCAAAAGCTACAATTTCACATTTAAAAAATTTCTCACATTTTTCAGATTTAATCACATTTCTCATCAGCAAGTAGTTTTGTCTTTGTCAACCCAGTCACTCTGGCTCGGAGCTGGATGAGACTTGAAACAAACAGCTCTCCAAGGAAGATGCCCAGGCCTGCCCCCCCTTCTTAAGGGCCTTCGTCACCTAACGGCACACAGAGCTTGGGGAGAGGAGGGAAGATGTGCTGGGGCGCTAGGGAGGCGAACTCCCTATTTGATGAAAGTAGAACCAAATGATCAGACTCTAGCAAGTCCTGAAGGCACAGCTGACACAGACGGGCAATGCACTGCACTGCTGTTCACATCCTAATGCAGCTCTGAGGTGACAGGAAGGTGTGCGTGCTGTGAGTGCAGACAGCTGCCTGACTTATGAAGACAAGGTCGAGTAATACCAAATACACCATGCATGGTTTCCAGACACCTGTCAGGTCAAGCTGGGAAGCAAATGGCAATGTCAGGATTTGGAGGGCGGCGGGGCAGGACACAAAAGGTTTAAGTTGTAACACTGTTACGAGATGAACCTTTTAATATTCTTCTGTCTTCATTCTCCTTAACACACATGCATTTTTGCCTTCAGAAAATGGAGTCAATAGCTGTGCAGAGTTGAAGAAAAACTTCCTCTGGTGTCCCCTCAGCATTGATCTATGTTTAAAAGGAAAAAGAAAAAAGAAAATTCGTCTTAAGAAATCTTTGTAAATAAGACCACTTTTAATAATAAAGATCACCTGTTTATAACTTGCTGTAAAAAATTTTAAAACACAGCGCTCCAAAACCACAGAGAAAAGACTAGTTGAAGAACTAGGTGCCTAATTAAAACAAGAGATACCACTACACACCTGTTAGAATGGCCAAAATGTAAAGCACATCATCAAATGCTGGTGGGGGTATGGAGCAACAGGGGCTCTCATTCTTTGCTGATGGGAATGCAAAAAGGTACCACCACTCTGGAAGACAGTTTAGCAGTTTCTTACATGTTAGTATAGGATCCAGCAATTTGTGCTGGATTAATATGTACCCAAAGGAGTAGAAAACTTATGTCCACACAAAACCTGTGTATAGGAGCTTTATTTATGATTGCTAAAACTTGGAAGCAACCAGGATGTCCTTTATTACGTGAGTGGATAAACTGCAGTACATCCAGACAGTTGGATATTGCTTAGTGCTCAAAAGCAATGAGCTATCAGGCTATGCACAGACATGCAGGAAACTTAAATGCATGTCACTAAGTGAAAGAAGCCAGTCTCAAAAGGCTACCTACCATGTGACAATGGGAAAATGGCAAAACTATGAAGAGAGTGAAAACGATCAGGAGTTGGGCGGAGAGAAGAACGGACGGGGGAACACAGGACTTTTATGGTAGGAGACTATCCTGTGTGATGCTATAATGGTGGATACATGTCATTGTACATTTTTCAAAACCCAAAGAATGCAACACCAAGAATGAACCCTACTGTGAACTATGGACTTCGGGTGGTAATGTGTCGATGGCAGCAGCCGTGCTAGTGTGGGATGTTGACAGTGGGGGGAGTTGCATGTCTCTGGGGACAGGGGTAGATGAGAACTCTGTACGCTCAATTTTGCCGCGAGCCTAAAACTACTCGTAGGGAAAAAAGAGATTTAAAACAACAACCACAACAAAAACTAGATGCCTTATTGAGGTAACTAAAGTATTGTTACAGGCCACAGGAAGACTGAGTTGAAGTGAGACTTCTGAGTGCTCCGGAGCGTTTGGAGCAGGGTGGGAAGAGGGCGAGGCTGGGGGCTGAGGGTCGGCTGTGGAGGAGAAAGCTGCAGCTGGGACCTCGGCTTGCAGGGGTCCCCGAGCTCAGGGCAGGGTCCTCCTGCACTGGCTGACACACCAGCACAAGAAGCCAATGACAGAGGGAGGAGAGGAAGCCGATTTCCTGGGCAAGAAGGCACCACTACCCTTTCCTCTCAAAATCTCCTAATGTTGTGCCAGCCACTGAGATGTGTCCCACCACACATGTAACATCAGAGAAAGCAGAGGCCTGCTGGTCTAAGTGAGACTCACGCCAGGGGCGGTGGTGAGCTTGCGAAAATGCAACTTTTTCAGACCCCATCTCCAGAGGTTCACATTTGGCAAGTTAGGGCTGGGCCTTCCAATCTGCATATTTGACAAGTTCTACAGATGATTTTGCTGTGGGTCATCTCGGACCACACTTTGAGAAACACTAGGTGATTTCTTCAGCTCCTCTCTAGCTTCTTTGTGCAAACTAGTTTCAATTTCACAACCCTTGGGATTCCAGAGGTAAAATGAACCCTCAGAAAGAAAAAAAAAAGTGCACATTTAAATGTCCTGGAAAATAGATACAAGAATGTTTGCCATAATCCCAGACTGGAAAAATTGCAAATGTCCATCAACAGGAGGTGGATTATATATATGACTATGTCCTAGTCAGATAATGGAATAGTATAGTAATAAAAAAAACCCCACAGCTACATCCAACAGCATGGATTAATCTCACAAAGCTGAAGGAGAGAAGCAAGTTGCAGAAGAATATGCACATGGTATGATTCAATTTATGTGAAGTTTAAAAATGAGCAAAGCTAAATTACATTGGTTAGAGATCCATACATAGGTTGTAAAACCACAGGAAATGATTATCATAAAAATCAGGATGGTGGTTACTTCTTGGGGAGAAGAAGGGAGATGTGACTGGGAGAGACACGGTGGGGAGCATCTGGGAATCCCAGCTATTTCTTGACCTGCATGGTGATGACACGGTGTTCATTTTATAATTCTTCAAACGGTATTACTTTCACGCATTCATGTATGTAAGATGTATCTCACGTGGAAAAAATAAATTAAAACCGAAAAATATTTTTTAAGCTTCTCCCCTGCTTCCCCCCATACTTGATCCTTACAGGAGGGTCAAAGAGCCACCTGCAGCCAGCTCGTCTCCCCAGCCGGTGGCGCTCCGTCTGGAGGGCAGGGAGTTTGCCGTGTTTACTCCCTCACAGCACATTGCTTGGCGCTTCACCTCTTCTTACTTTCCCCTTCAACCATCCAGCATCTCCTGGGTACCAACCATGTACTATGTGCCGGGGAAACCACGCTGAACTAGACCCAACTGTCCTGCTCTCAAGAAGTTCACAGCTCAAGGGCAGAGACACATAATGAGAATTTACACTGCTGTGAGGCAAGCAGAGGAGCCATGGGTAACAGGGGCACCTTACACAATCTCGGAAGAGCAGGAAGTTTCCTGAGGAAAGTCATTATCATCATCATCATTTAAAATAATACACTTTACCACTAATGAGGCATGACTGCCATTCACTCATTCATTTTTTTTCCACTTCCACCCGTGCTTCACTCTGCCCTTGCTAGACGTCCCTGCCTTCCCCGTCCCTCCAGCCTGCTCTCAATCCCCTCCATCCCTCCATCCCTGCTTTGCTCGCTCCCTCAGTCCATCCATCACTACCTCCCTCCCTCACTCCCTCCTTCTCATTTCTGCTCCTCTCTCACTTCTCACTTGCTCCCTTATTCCCACCCCTGTGCATCTTGTCGTCCTCCCCAGCATAAGTGCTTTTAAGCAAACAGGTATTTCTAACAATGATCTTAGGTCACAGGTATTGTTGTCCCCATTTCACAGATGATGAAACTGAGGCCCTGAAAGATGAATTAAATTTCCCAGTCATACAGCTAAGCAAGTGGCACAGACTTGGTTCAAACTCAGGTCTCTGACTCCAAAGTCCTTGCACTTGTCGACTACATTATGCTACATGCGCCAGTTCAAAATGTCTGGATGGCTGAACTGAGTGGAAGTTGCAAGGAGTGAAGCTGGACTAGTAAGCAGAGATTGACAATAAAGAGGCTTATATCTTCTATTGCCTAAGAATAATGGGGAGCTGGGTAAGGGTTCTAAGGAATCGGTTGATACGATCAAACGCAGGTACGTTAAAAAATCTTTGATAAAGAGTTGTTTAATTGAACAGAACGTGTGACGTGGAAGCAAAGAGCACCGTGTCAGGAGAGATGACACCTGGTGCTGTCCCTGGTGAGCTTCTGGACCTGGGCCGGCCCCTCGCACTCCTGGGGCCTCAGCTTCCCCCTCTACTACATGGAAGACTGAACTAGGACCTGATACCCCCCAGGTCTGGTTCCAGCTCTGACAAAGTGTTTCCAAATCTGAGTCTGAATCTTGGTGGGGATGAGGCTCCGACCAGGAGGCATCAGGTTTGTCCAGTTGAGTTTGGTGCTGCCAGTAAGGCTGGACCTGGAGGAATGGACCTGTACTTGAAAGTCATAAAGGAGAATGCGAGCTTCCCCAGGGAAGAGAGCAGAGATCTGAAAGCATCTGGATGTTCTCAGGGAGCAGTGGGTCATTCCTTGAGGATCTCACACAAACAGCTCGGCTGGGGGAAGGAGAATGAGGAGAGGAGGCTGGAAGAATGAGTTGGGATGAGCTTGTGTCTCCATAGATCAGCCTATTCTGGACATTTTCTATAAATGGAATAGTAATATGCAGTCTTTTGTGACTGGTTTCTTTCACTTAACATTTTCAAGGCTCTTCCACGCTGTAGCATGTGTCAGCCCTTCGTTCTCTGTCCTCTGCCACCGCCCTGCTGAGCAGTCACCTGACCTGGTCTTTTCAAACCCTGGGAGGAGGGAGGAGAGGAAGCAGCTGTGAACTCCCCCCACACACTTTCAGCTTCCCTCCCCTATAGCGAGGGCCCTGAGAAGACGTAAATCCACAAGCACTAGGCTTATAATTTGCATTATCTGTGTCTGCATCAGTGGGAGATGCATCAGGTCTCTGGTCCTCAGGAAGCTCCCTGAGCACAAAGACTCAGTACAACAACCCTTTGGTACATCTTGCAAGTTCTCCGTCCTAGTGTCCAATGCTTTGTCCTTGGCATGGACACCTCCCAGAGTTCACTCCAGATCTTCCCCAGAGGAGAAAGCTAATTAGACTTGACCCCAAGTCATTTCTACTGCATTTGCTTGTAAGTGTTCTCATTATAATACAATTGCCTAATCGAGGGAAGCCTGTAGTGGGACTTTCAGCTTAGTTACACCCTCTGCTTCCTTTGAACAAACCCCACCTGGTTCTGGGACTTCTCTTGTCCTCATAAGGCGGTCCATGTCTTGCAGTCTCCCTCTTTATTTCTCCATTAGCCACAATGTCTTAACTGACCTCTCTAGTTACTTGCATTTAACTGACATAACATGTCCTATTTCTACTAACCAGCCCTGGAACATTTCCCTCCTCCAGCCCATTCTTCTCTAACCAATACTACCCAACAGTCTTCGACCTCATGCACTTTTCTAAATTTGTCGTTCTTCCAAAAGAAAGCCATGTTATTTCCCACATCCTTATCTCCTAGCTAACAGTCATCATTTCTCTTTTAACTGATACATCATTAGTACAAAAAGTTATTTTAAAAGAACACTGATTATTACATCCTCTCTCTTTTTCTCCATTTTCCTGTTGATTGATAACCTGTTTCTTCAATGTAACACCAGCAACGGATTCACACAATTTGGGTTGACCATTATCCAGAATTTCTTTTAGACTCCGATGAAGACATATTTGTTCATTACAACGTCCTATCTTTCCACTGTTCTTTTTGCCCTTTTATCAGCACAATGAACTAAAGGCTCTTTCAACACCTTCAAT